AAGGGTTAAGCATGTAAACTATATAATGTTTAAAAGCATGTAACTTCAATGCCGTACACCAAACTTCTAAAGATTTTTTATATAGCAGAAACAATACAATATTAATAAAATACAAGAACAAAATCAATGAGTGTAATTTTATTTTTGGAAAATGGAAGTAAGTTTAATTTTTTTATGTTATAATAAAAATATTTTGAATTATTAAACATGCATTTTTCAAGAATTAAAGCATCAAATCAAAAAGTCTGCAATTCATAGTAATTTCTAGCTTAGTAGTAATAAAATAAATAATACGACTAAATTCCTTTTTTGAAATATTCTTTATAATAATTCAGCATGTTGCTTAAATTATTAAAACTATTTTTGATGGTATAAACATTAGTGATTTTTCTTATTTTTGTATTTCTATCTCTTTTATTGATTACTCAATATTGATTATTTATGTATAATAATGCAATTCAAATCACAGGGTTATTCCACTTATTTCATTTGTAGTTTATATAATATATAAAAGTAATAGATTATAATTTTAACATTACTTTAAATCGATAATAAATAAATGACAATGAAAAGGTTTCTGGAAATCGTTGAAGAAAACATGGCAAAGAAGACCATGTTTTATAAACATATTATTGTTCATAATTCAAAATCACTGAAGTTGATTAATTTAAAATAGAAACTAGTGGTGTGTATGGCATCGTGCCTTAAGACAAATTGCTGGAACTTCCCGTACCGTAACGAAATATTCGAAGAATATTAAATGTTTTCAAATAGATTATTATAAATAAATACTGTAACATTATCTAATATTTATAAGAATTATATAAACTGAATTACAAAGTAGAAATTATTTGTTTAAAGTATATTAGAACTTTAGTCAGAATTAAAATCTGAATTATTTTCGATATACAAAAAAAAAATTCTTGAAAAAAAAAATTGAAACTATTTTTTTTCCAAAAGCAATTATTTTGTTAAAACAAGCAAAAAGATCTTTGAATCATTCAAATCAGACGCTTAGTTCTCTCAAAAACTGCCATTTGTAGCACATTTAGCTGTATATCTTCGAAACGGCTGGATCTGCCTTTGCCAAAAGCTAATCAGCACATCTCCCTATCAATAGGAATCGAATGTTTCTTTTTGAACCATTCAAATCGGTTGATTTGTGCGCCCGAAAACGTGAACGAAAAAATGCGAACACACAAAACACACACTCATCCATTTTTTCTGAAGTATGCCAAAATGTTCAGAAACCTTCAAAACGTCGAAAAATGCAAAAATTTTCGGACGATTACAATACGTAATTACCTTACCCTACGGGAAGTTAATAATCTGAAATAATATGCGTGTATGTGATATCGTTATGATATACTTATATAAATTACTTAATGAAATTAGATTATAAAAATTATACAAACAATTAAATAATATAAATAAATATTATGTTTAAGTATTATGTAACCAAATGTTGTTCGAAGGCTTTATTTATCGTGTAAGTTGAATAATATCAAGTAATTAGCTTTCCGTAGAACCCGCATATTATATGTTGTCGGTGGGCAAAATCGATGAATAGTAAAAGCTTTTTTATATTTGAATAAATAGATTTTGATCAATGCGTAATGGCCGTTTCATTAGACCGTATACGACCAGCAATCAGTTCGACTATAATAGTCGTCAAATCATCAAATGTCACAAAGACATTCTACGAAACTGTAAATTAATCAGCTGAAGAATAATTACATTATGTTTATCAATATTGATTTGGTTTGAACATTATTGATTTTATCAAGTGCACTTATATTTATTTCATCAACTAAAATTGATTTAATTTAAAATAGTTTACCATTGATATTAGGTAATATCGAATGCATTTAAATTAAATAATGAAAAAAATATTTTATTTTTCATTCATTAGTAATTATTTTCTAATTAATTTTCGTTGAATATTGAGAGTTATTCTGATTTAAATGGTATTCAAATATTTACTTATTTTTAAGTAGAACTTTTTCTTAAATATAGTATTTTCCAGTGTCAAGTCATGTGTTCCCTGATTCTCTTTGACTTTGCTTTCCGAAAAAAAGTATTATAATGTGCTAGATGCTTTTCAAGTGGGATTGCAAACCTTTATCTCCGAAAGATTTAACGGTCGACGAGCGTCGAGAGTAAGAGGGCAGACCTGACGTATATTATGTACGTCTTGTTAGTTCTTCAGAGCAAATAAACAGTGCGATCCCAGAGGAAATCTTACATAGTATCTTACTCTTCTCTAATCCAAACAGACCTTTTAGAAAAATCCGAATGGTTTTTCCTTCATTGGATTTATTCATGAACAATACATTTAGTGAACGTTCTGACACGTATGTTAAGATCAGTACTAAAACTGTAATTTCGAGCTTATTTTATGACATATGAATTATTCAATGATTAGAGAAACACGTGGTTATTAGGTAGTTTTATGTGCTCGCAAGAATATTTTAATATAGATTTATTATTTTATTAACCTATCAATAACATGTAATCATAATTATAACTTATCTATATATGTAATGTGAGTAATACACTTTTTGAAGTTGCGAAATGTTGATATTGAACCCTCAATTGTGATATGCCTTTTATTGAAAATAATTATATAAGTTGTTCGAAATGAATTACGATAACGAATGAACTATTTGATTTTGAGGTTTCTAAAAGAAATTTAATAATATAATAGAATCATACCGTACTTATTATCAGCTGTACTTATCGACCGCACGCTCTTTTCATGAAATTAACTAGTTGTACATGGCATCGTGCCTTAAGAAAAATTTTCAAAAACTTCAAAATCTTTTGATAGCTTTGAAAAAATAGATATTTGAGAAATTTGAAATGTTTGAAAGAAATTTGATAATTTCGTAATTTTGGTCAAAGCAATAGCACTGTGTAGCTGTTGTAGACACGAAATATCAAAGCGCGTAACCGCCGAGTTACGATCTAACGATTAAACATTATTAATCTTGGTACGGACCCCAAAGAAATGTCAACAAAATTTGTAACTATTATCAAGATTTTTATAATATATATGATAATTCGATGTGCATATCATGTGCATATGTCTGCATATGTCTAATGATCATTTTTGACCGCCAATTTTTCTTTTTTAAATTCCTATATAGTAAGTTATTGTAATCGTCCAAAAATCGAAATTAAAAGTTTTTGCATATCCTCACAGTTTAAGGTTTCTCAACATTTTGTCATACCTTAGAAAAATTCATGTGTCAGTAGGAATCGAATGTTTTTGGAATTATTCAAATCGGTTGATCCGTGCGCCCGAAAACGTGGACGAAAAATTGTACCCATATATACATATACACACATCCATTTTTTAAGGTATGCCAAAATGTTCAATAAAATTTAAAATATAAAAATATATAAAAAAAATCATTTTTGATTTCTTTGCAATTGCTATAACTTACCCTAAGGCAAGTTATAAAAAAGTTTTATGAATCTGTAATTATATGTTGTATGTAGACTCTCAACATAAAATTATGAATCTTGATAATAAATGATTATTTAGTTAAAATGGTTCTGTCGATAATTTAAAAATTATTAATAATGAAAGTAAGGACATATTTGAAATTAAAAATACAAAAAAATAACACTAAAAAAGTCCTGTCAGAGATTTATGTAAGTTTTATTACATCAGAGTCAAGTTTCAGTTCCTGGCAATGATGAAATTATATCAGCGCGTGGCAAAACCAATATTATTGAAATAAGTAGTAACTAGCTGTAAGTGGAATTCTGTCTTGAGGCATTTATGGCATCGTGCCTTAAGGCAAATTGCTGGAACTTCCCGTACCGAAATGTTCGAGGAATACTGAATGTTTTCAAATAGATTATTATAAATATTGTAACATTGTCTAATATTTATGAGAATTATATAAACTGAATTGCAGAGTTGAAAATATTTGTAAAGTATATTAGAACTATAGCCAGAATTAAAAATAAAATCTGAAATATTTTTGATAAAACTAAAAAAAAAAAAAAAAAAAAAAAAAAAAAATTGAACAAAATTTTTTTTTCCAAAATCAATTATTTTGTTAAGACAAGCAGAAAGTTCTTTGAATCATTTAAATCGGACGCTTAGTTCTCTCAAAAACTGCCATTTTTTACATATTTAGCTCCATATCTTCGAAATGGCTGGGCCTGCCTTTGCCAAAAACTAATAAGCACTTCTCCCAATCATTACTAATTGAATGCTTTTTAGATCATTCAAATCAGATACTCCGTTCTCTCAAAAATTCGATTTCTATTTTCTGCACTCTTTGCTCCGTATCTCCGAAACGGCTGGACCTGCCTTTGCCAAAAACTAATCAGCTCTTTTCCCTATCAATAGGAATCGAATGTTTTTTGAACCATTCAAATCGGTTGATCCGTGCGCCCTAAAACGTGACTGGAAATTTGTATCCATACATACATACACACACACACACACACACACACACACACACACACACACACATCCATTTTTTCTGAGGTATGCCAAAACGTTCAAAAACCTTCAAAACGTCGAGAAATGTTAAAATTTTCAATTCCGATTTTCGGCCCATTACAATAACTTACCCTACGGGAAGTTAAAAAGTAATTGAAAATCCCTCGACGATGATTCAAGTAATAAAAACATCGTAAATATCATTTTGCGTTATCTCGTAACGAATGGTGCTCTAATCTTTTGTTGAGATCGCATAAAGACCTTTGCAACGAAAAGAATTTTATGCGTTTGAAGATGCTTTATTGGGCCATTTATTAATTTAATTTTCAAATCAATGTACGTACACATTAACGCTGGTGATTTTGAATTTTTATGTCATATTCGCGATCATAATTTTTCTCGGCTATTTCTAAAAGCGATTAAATGAGCCAAATGAAACATGTTTTTGATATTTGTTGATATGTGAAGTTACTACGCTCTTCAAGAGCTAAATAAAATGTAGTAAAAAAATAATGTAGAATTTTCTCCATTACAGGTAGTACCCCCTCCGATACCACAACGACCGCCCGCAGTGCCAAAGCGAACGCTACCGTCCACCGCAAACGCTTCGCCGCAAACATCGAACGCGTCGTACTGTGTCAGCCGCGCTGTTAACGCGCAATCGGCGGACGCGACGGCATTGCCGGCCATTCCGCCGCATCCGAACCGCAATCGCAGGACCGACAGTCAGATGGGCGGTGTGCCGCCGCGCATTCCACCGCCGCCGCCTCCGCCGCCCCCTCAAAGAAACAACCCAAACAATAACGGCAACAGCAACAGCACCAACAACAACAATTTTGGAGCCATGAACAACCTTAACAACGTCACAAGTAACATGGTTGGAAACATGAACACTATAAATAATCTTAATAATGTGAATCATATTAACAATCTTGCAAACATGAACAGCGGAAATGGCATGAACATCTCGAATGTAGGTACAAATGGTGCAAATGGAAAAACTATGCACAGGTAACTGATTTGTAAATTCATTTCTAAAATGTAATATTTTGCAATTTATATTAAATAATAGATTACTTAAACTGATCGCGAAATTGTGAATTATCGAAAAAAGCAATATTGAAAGCGAAACGTAGGGTAGGGCGGGGCACATAAGTCCAAATTGACTTATTATACTGCAACTGTAAGTGAACTACTTCACAACATATAACACGTATCAAACGGAAAACTATCGAACGAAATTAAGTGAATTTCCTAGTTAATTCCTTAATATAGAAATGTGATTTTTTAGTATTTCTCTAAAATTTGTCATCTTTCTCTTTTTACCCCATTATATTTTTATATAATATGGGTGAAAAGAGGTGGCCATCGGCAAACAGATGCAATTATTATTACAGCTTAATTAAATTTTTAAAAGGATTTTACAATATGATAGCTGCATTATTCAACCAATGCAAAATATACATTTTACATGCATTGGTTGAATAATGCAGCTTTACTTGATACATTTTTACATAGATAATACTGTGTTTAACCTTGATACAGCCTTGTTTTGTCAGAAATATCAGCTGAGTTGGAATAACTATCTATTGTAAAATTGCTCTTTTATTTTTTTTAAATTTTATTTGCTATTTTTTGCCATTGTAAAGGTTCAATTGGTCCTTTTACCCTACCCATGTGTAACCTTTTGTAGAGGTATGTAACTGTTGAATTTAACTTGAAATTAGCTATACATCTCATAAAACAATTAAATAACGTATACTTAAGGTCTCGTAAACTAAACAACAGTGCTCACAACAAAAAACCTATCAACGATAGAAATTACTTTCGTTATGGATTTTCGAACGCTGCAGTTTACCTACTGATAGGAATGTCGTAAGAATCAAGGTGATGGCTGGTTATGCATCTTTTTCGCTCTACTATCAAATATTGTTTAAAAAATTTAACTTCACTTGTTTTTAAAAAAACAGGTGGTAGACCTTTTTATTCGCGGAGTTTTAAACTCCACTTCACACTGTAGTTGATTGCAATACTTTTAAATATATACACGAGCTCTTCTACAGGTCAAGATTTTACATTAGAAGATGTCAATTTTCAATATTAACTAACTAATAAAAGTAGTAAAGTAAATATATATAGTAATAAAATGTAGACTACGTTTTTCATAATTATTTCAATTTTTCTTTCCTTCAAAATGTAAAATGAAAACTTTGCATGTTTTTGTTTGATAAAAAAATGTAGTATCTCTTCATTCATTTTTTTTAATTACAATCTGTAACACTTAGGACATTCAGTAATTGTTTTGACTTTTTTCATTATTATATATGAATCTTGAATGGATGCCAACCCAGTAGTTGTCCAGTTCAGTTATGATGTTATGACTAATTATCTATACTCGAAGTATTTGCTGACATTTTTATTATATGTGCAACTATACCCACAAGAGGCGATTTTCACTTGAGGCTAATTTTGAGATCTATAACTTCAAGTCGAAATTTGACATCAAAGTTGCCCGATGTCGATCTATGGCGGTACCGGGAATCGAACCAGCGAGCCCGGGACTAGTTGGTTCTAACCCACGTCCTAACCGATATCGTCACCGCTGGCCCATTTCTTCATTCATGTTATCAAATAATAGCAATTCACGTGCTCAATATAGCCTATTATTAAAGAAATCCTTGTCGTTTTATTCACTTTATGGTACATACCACACATAGAAAAAATATAAAACAACACTCTCGAATTCTTATCAAATCTTCGTCAAGGATGATTACGTCTCAGAGAACGTAAGAACCAGGCAATCTTGTACCGCGTATAATATACCTTTGACGTTTATATTTCTTCCCGCGCGTTCGTGTTTCGATTTAAAACGTAAACAAACAACGTATGTAGTATTTATTTCTCAAACATCAAGACCATATATCACAGCACTCCTACGTACCGGTAAGATCTGCACTTTTAAAGCTAAATTCAACTCGATATGTTAAAGCATTCATAATAATATTCGGTAATAATACACATGTATTTTTAATTCATATATTGAAAAACAACAATAATATATTATAATTCGAGAAAAATAGTACAGTCAGTGTGAAACTGCATAGTTTCGTAAGTTTTTTTTTTAATTTGCATATATATTTACAACTGTCTAGTTTATAGACATTTAACAAATTGATCATTTACAATTGTCAGTTATAAAAAAAGACATTGTGTAAAATAAATACATGTTGGAAAGAACAACCAAGTAATTGACTTATAATTGCCTTATTTAATATTAACAGTAAATCAATTATAAAAATATAAAATCAAAAATTTTATTATCAATATTAAACAACTAAGTTATGTGATGTACGCCAGGAATCAATGTTTATTAAATCAAGTGGCGATTTTCTTTTCAATTTGCGAAGGCTAAATTTGTCAGTCCAAAAACACTTACAAGCCGTAATATGTTCACCAATGTTGTTAGCCGTAATATGTTCACCAACGGATTTAACACATTGCGGAATTCTGTGGCAATAATTTTTTGTATGCCCAAGTTGTTGACAACGTAAGCATTAATGTTTAATGCAAACTATTTCTTCAGTTGGATTTCAAGGTTTGATGACAACCTTACACAAATTATATATATCTTCGTCGTTTGTATGTTGTTCTAATTTTACCAAAAATAGGTTTAGTGGATACTTTGTTGATCTACTCGCGATGTTCAAAACTCTTAACATTTTATGTCCATGGGTTTCTATATCTTGTTCAAGTTTGAGAATGATTTTGAAGCTGCGTTTATTCTTGTTTTGATACAAATGCATTGAGTACCTTTTTGACTTAATAGTTTTACTATAGTATTGTACGTATGCGCATTTTTCGAGCAAAACGAGTATTTGAATATGGATTTAAACATTTAATATACTTTTTGTATATTTATAGAAAAATATTCTTCATTTTTTATATCAATATATGGCATGCTTTGATTTTGCCATGAACAATACCTACTATATTATATCAAGTGATATAATACAAAAAAACTATATTGAGAACAGGATATTAAAATTATTTGGAAATGTAAAACAAATAATCATCCACATTTAAACCATACTTTCTCTTCCCACTCTGTGGCAACTAAAAATACAAACGCGTTTAATAAATGAATTTTCATTATGTATACTAAGCGGAATTGTCTATTTTCATCTTCAGTAACAAGCCGCCGCCACTATCGCACATTCACGGTAATCCGGCCGCGTCTTCGGGTATCGCGTTGGTCAACGGCAGACAAGATTCGAACGTTTCCAGCGACAGTTTTAGCCAGAATTCGTCACCATCGTATACTACCAAAACCATGGAAGCACCACTACTGGGCAACCGAGGTACATCGGCCGGTCGAAATGCAAGAGCCTGTGTTTCACCTGGTTGCTGTGTTCCTGGCGGAGCGGTCAGGACAGCCGGCGGTCCAGGTTCTGGGCCCGTACCTGATGGCTTGGTGGATCCCCAAACAGCAGCGCTGACAAAGAGTTTGTCTACGCCGGCAGGACTTCAAACTGTCGTGCGTTTTCATGATGGATCCAACATGTCACTTCATCATAGGGTAAGACAAAATATTTTTAAAGCGATTCGCAAAAAAACATTGAATCGTTCAAATTTTACTTGAAATGCAACATGAACTCTAAGACAATTGTAGTTGTGACAACTTTTATATTTAAGTTGTTTTCATCTGAAGTTTATTTTTTGTATCATACAACTTTTAAAAAGTAATAGTTTTCGTAACAAGATAAATTGGCATTCACAGTTAGATTTTCATTTACATTTTGTCTTCATTTGTTTTAATATAGAACTTTTATTCGAGCTCAGAAAGTTTTATTAAGCGTGTTGCAGTAATAAATAATATGTTAACTGTAATTGTATCAATTTAAATTCAACACAATTTTGTTGCAATAGAAATAAAATAAACTCCTAAATAATTTTTTCATCACTTTTCATTAATATTTATTTACAGATAATACGAGATATGCGACGCACATCAAACCCCTATGTAACGCGTGGTCGCCTTCGCTTTAGGTTCGCTCAGGTGCTATTAAATGCGGTTGCTCTCCTTGCGATAGCAGGAGGTTTGGCTGCCTACTTTCGTGCCTATCCCGTGGTTCAAATTGTCAACCGAACGATAACAACGACTACGACTTACGCTGTGCCAAATCGACATGAGACCAATGAGCTACAAGTAATAAAATTATCTCTTTGAATAATGTACATTCTTCATATTTTAAGATGATACATAATTTTGTCGTTGTTTCTAGGTAATACCACCGGTGGTAGCGCCCTATCCAGCAACGGCCGACTCCAATCCCTTGCCGGGCATTTGTTTGCCGGTTATTGTTAACTTCTGCCACGTGCATCGGATGCCCTATAACTTCACAGTGTATCCCAATTACATCGGACACTACAGTCAGCGAGACGCGCAATTGGTAAGTTATAGTTATATAAAGAAAAACATCCATCCTACATCTATTCATGTAATACAAGTCACCATACATTTATTTATTCATACTTATTCAAAATGGTTCTCGATAGAAAGCTTTTCTATTTTACAAAACTATATGTTGTAAGAAATTCTATTCATAGAACTACACTGTGCTGAAGTGCATCGTTTACGACTGCATGTTGTACGAACTATGTATTATACGTTTTTATACGTCGAATCGAAATCTTTCAGATTTCAAAATGTCATTATACCATACCATAGCACATCCATAGAGATTCAAATATTTTATACCCTTATAATTGTTATTGTTACTTAAGTTCCGTAATCGCAAAAAATTTAAAAAAAAATTTTTTGCAGATTTTACTTTTCAAAGCCTTCTCAAAATTTTGGCATACCTTATAATTAGAAAAAAAAGGATGTATGTGTGCGTGCATATATGCGGATTCTAAAATTTATGTCGACGATTTCGAGAGCGTGAATTCGAATGATTCATTTTATTTCTATTGACTGGAATACGTACTTGTTAGTTAGATTTTGGCGAAGGAGGATAATTTCGAAAATTTTGATTTGCGTCCGATTTGAATAATTCAAATAACATTCTAATAATTGACATTTTGGGGTCAAAAATGATCATTAGACTTATGAACATTAAATTATCAGATATATTATTTTAATAATAACTATAAATTTTGTTTCTATTTTGGGTTGGGTTCCAAAGTTTTCAAAGATCACCAAAATTTTCAAAAAAGTCGAATTTATAAAAAAAAACATTTTAAATTACGGTTATTTGCCTTAGAGCACGATGCCCATGCACCACTAGTTTTATATTGTTTTTTTTTAAGTAATAAAAATGTAACAGTAATTTTTTTTCATCATAACATATTTAAGTTTTTTATATATAAATGTGACGTACAGTAAAGATAGCTGTTGGGTAGCTTTGATATAGTCTTTGTTAAGTTAATTTCATATTAAAAACATTTCATAGGGATGTATTAGCTGCAATAACAGCTACGGATGCTGACAGAATAAACTGTTTCATTTATGGATAGAAAAGTCATTTAGTGAGGAAACCTTGTTTGCAAACAACTGGTCGAAATTGAATGTAAATGAAACAGCAGAATTTCTAAAATGCCCGATCAATGACAATACTAGTACATTGTTATAATGATAAAGTAAATAAATGTGATTATATCGTACTATATTGTACGTAACGAAATATCATAGTATTCATATACACATATGCACATTTGAATTTATTCCTTCGAAAGGTTTCAAAACCAGTAATCGAAATATATTACAATCGATTAATATTACAAATAGTCCCATAAAAATTGTATTAACTAATCAATTATTTGCGACAAATTATATTAAATTTCAAGTTAATAAATGACTGACCTTTATTCAAGTCGCCGATTCTCCTGAAACATCGAAGGTGGCCATTTGTTATCTAGAAAAAACAGATATGTTAAAATATCATGAAGTATAGCTAAATAGTGAATTATAAATTACCTCTCGAATTCCAAAAGAAGGCGACTTCGGGAAAACCTTGATTACAGTTAAGCTCAATTTTGGCACTTCATTAAATTAATTACACTACACTTATCTTTACTTTATCAAATTACTATATAAGCAATAGGTGAGAATTAACTAAAATGTCGAATAAACACTACATAACACACGCGATCACTGATTGTTTATAAATAAACTAATGAATTATCTGAAATAAAAAGAATATTAATTAGATAATATGCTTAGATAAATACTGATATAAACTATAAACTAGTGGTGCATGGATTTCTGGAACTTCCGGTACCGAAAATATTTTTCTTTTAAGTTTTAAAATTTTTTGAAAACTTGTAAAGAAATAAAAAGTGTTGAAACTTGACTTCCATTAAAAACTTGAAATATTTTTTTTAAATTTTCAAAATTTTGAACTTTTTTCAAAGAATAAGTCTAAAGGATAAACATTGGTATGGAAACAATAAAAATGTAAACAAAATGTTATTTGCATTAACTTCCTAATATAAATAAATAATCGACTTAATCAATATGAATTCAAATTTATACTTTTAAAATTGTTACAATCAATGAACTCTAGTTAGTTTTGACAAATAGTTTAAATTCTATGTGTTCCTGTGCCATGTTATCCACACCTAAAATATTTTTACTTCATTAGACAATCAATAGATTCAGCTCAGATTGGTGTTGTCTAAATAAATAAATTCAAACCAAAAGCACAAAATAACTTTAAGGAGCAAAATCTAGTAAAAACAATCGTTTCTTAATAATTGAACTCTACTAACGTTAAACAAAAGTAAAAGAAAGGCTGCACTCATTAGCAAAAAACTTATAATTAAATGTTTGTTTTATAAAAATAAAAAGATGTCTACAAAAAATCAAACTAACTGTAGATTCAAAACAAAAAGGGACCCTACTGAAGAACAAAATAGGCATTCTGTATATGAAGAATCTTTCAAATCAATATTTGTTCCTTGCTGAATGAGCTTAACTGATAAGAAAAGTAAAATCATATTTGAAATTCAAATTGAAGGACTCTACTGACGAGCTAATTTATGATACCCAATAAAAGACTACTGAAACAAGCTAGATTTAAATTTACCTATGTGTAGGTGGAATTAAAGCAAGTTGCATGAAGTTTTCGATTTGTGTAAATAGTCGACCTAATCAAAATCAATCAATTTAAAAGTCACACATAATTTATAAGTATTAAAATAAAACAAGGTCTACTTTTCTAAAATGATATTTTACTGTTAGTAAAGTTCCTCTTAGATCTAAAATGAATTTGATTTTCAGTAGAAATTCATTTTCTTTGTGAATTTGTTCGTCAGTCGAATTGTCCTATCTATCGTATCGTGAAAAAAATTACATTAATATTTTTTATCATTGAATATTTAAGTTATTTGACTTAATTAAATTTTAATTTATTTTTCTAATTATTAAAGATAATCAATACAATTTCAGCAGTTATTTATTTGTTGTCTTAAGGTGTGCGAAAACGATAAAATGATTTGAAACAAAGAAATTTTTATTTAAACTTAACACTGTATTGCGTAAATTTGTATTGAATCTTTTGAATTTATTATGAATATCATTTAACACGATTTTATGTAACTGTTGTAAGCTATTATTTTTTTATTCTACAAACTGGCATAAGAGTGATTAGTAGTTCTAATTAAATGCACATAAAATACTGTAAATATATACTATATAAAATAATTCAATGTAAAATATATGTAGAAATTCAAAGTTTATTTTGGGATTAGCCAATTATTTGAAAATAATCGAAGTGTATTTCAGTAAGCAGAATTTCTGTGTTCAGCATTATTCTAAAAATACAAATTGTTTATTAAAACCTTAAAATAAAAATCAAAGAAATGCGTGCAAATACAATAAAATAACAAAACATTCTATTAATATTTTAAGATGAGATTTACTTACAATTAGTATAAATTTGTGGTTTACCAAAGTACTATAGTTAATTTATCTTGATTCAAATTCAATAATAATTCGGTAATATAAACAAATATCATGTAATATTTCATAGTGGCAATCTTCATTGTTCTTCATTTTATGAACACAAATAAAATGTTTTTTGAATCATTCAAATCGGACGCTCCGTTGTCCTATAAACTGAATTTGTCATTTTTAGCACTTTTTTCCTTCAAATTTCTTACGATTTATAATTCAATATGTTTGCCGATCATTATATTGCGTACAAGTTTCCAGTGGAAAAATTCATTTATTTAAAATCTTGTTCATATACTTGAACTTACCTCAGGCTGCATGGATGTCAGCATTTCTTCGCAAAATTGCACAGAGTCAAATTGTTCACCCACATACACTTTGTTTTACGTGAAATTATGGAAAATTTATTTAATTAGCACTTCTGTTTCAATAATTAAGTAATTTACGCGAATTTTATTATCTATTACACTCACTTTTATTTTAAAAAGTCTTATTAGGCTGAAAGAAACTTGTGGATTAGTAAGGGGTACGGTCATAATTTTGCCTATACTAAAAATATTAATTATATAATTAGCTAAATATATAATTATTTGACAACTTCCTAACTATAACCTAGTTCACGGTTCTTTGTGAACACACAACAAGACGTGTGACCGTACCCTTAGAAATCATGCCTAGGAATGAAAATGCACTGACCTTTGTTGAAAATCACCAATTCTTCTGGAACATCCCGATTACCAATTTGTTGTCTGAAGAATAGAAAAAAAACTTATCGATATATTATGATATATCGATTTGTACTTAAAAATTCTGTGTATTACCTCGTGATTTCCAGAAGAGGGCTAACCAAGAAGCAGGACTAGATACCGGAAACAAGACACTATCACTGCACTGGAACACTATAAATGTCTTTATGAACACTAAACAAACTCGGGTTGCAAAATAGCTCAAAAATCGAGAAAAACAATCACTACGAGTCGACACCAAGTAAATTATTTGACTACAAGCGAATATTAGTACGATTCATTACTAATAAAACTTGGATGGATTTGTATAATGTTCTTCTGATCAACAAAAACATCGCCAAAGAAGATAAAATACATAGCAATTTGTTTTTTCTTTAGCATCTCCAGCTTTATGGTTGGTCCTTTAAAGTCGTATCTTTTAGCTGGTTAAATGGATGAAAATGGATTAAAAACAATTTTATGTCGACAAAAAAGTCTTTTTCAACGAAAATTTCCACCTTATCAACGCAATTTTTAAATCCATTCTTCTAATTTGTATTTCCAAACATCCAGTAATATTAGTAAGTCAGGCATGAATTTCTGCTGCAAATAAATTAGTATATAAAAAAAATTATCAAATATATTATTTGTATATATAAAAGCAAAGAAAATACTAAATGTCCAGTGGTATGTGACTAGTGAAAACCATTCATATAAACCTATTCCCATTCAAAATACCTTCATTTTCAAAAATGTCCACATTAGGTTCATG